AAAAAAATTTCTGTGGAGCGACATCTACAATAGCGAGGTACGAAATAGCATGTAAGTCCCGCCCTATTTTGTTTCCATTCTAAGGGGGGATATTTTGTGATTTTAATAGTAAATTTCCATATATCGTTTCTGAAAAATTCGTATGCAAATTGCGCAGGCGCACTGTACTGTAAAGACGCGTAGATAATAGTACAAGACCAACTAACAAAATCATAATATCACGCACTCAAGTTATTTATTCAAGTATTTTATAGTATGAAGACTACAGGTAAAAAAGGGACTTTGTCATTTTAATATCATTGAGATAATACAGTTATTTGTTAGAAAATCTCGCAAACTTCTAGTTTCTAAAGCTAAAATTTACGCTAAAAAAGTTGTTAATGAAGGTGATCGTATCGTTCCAGTCCCTCCAAACCTTTGGTTTTCTATGGTTTTATCTTAAAGAAAACTTTAAATTAAGCAGTGTAAAGAAATCCTAAATGGACAAAGTTTGACAAAATTCACCATTTTCAGGCTAAATTTCGAGCGGTGTTGCCAACCTTCACAAAACGTTTTAAGTTCTTGTAAATTGTTTCCTGGGATACCTAGCAAGCAGATCCACTAAGTTTGGGTCGGTTTAGATTATTTAGCTATTTTGTTGATTTTTGATGACCTGAAACACGACTTAGCAGCAAATGGCACCGGACAATCTCAATTTCCTGCATAAATGAGTGATTTTGGAAAAGCGAATTTCAAAAGTGTGTAAGTGTTTTTTGGCTTACTTATGGACCATCTAGAATTTGTTTCCGTGAAAGTGCTGAACTTGAAGTTTTCTTTAAGGTGAAATAAGAAAAACGAAAAATCGGAGTAAGTCAAACGGCACGATCATCGTTTTTGAAAATATTTTCTACAAGGTGAGCACTTTTTTAACGACGCATGATTTCCCTTCAAATAGCACCTTCAAAACAAATTTTGACTATGATGTCTACGCAATTTAACTGATTTAAAATCACTATAGCACAGACTACTGACTATTATAGACTATAGTCATGGTGACGATGTAGAACAATTGCATTTATCAGACGTCGAACAAAGAATGATTGCTGCGAAATTCATCCTGGAAGTTCCAACAAAAAGGTAAAGTATAATATAATGTGAAATATTTAACAAGTTTTATTTCTATGGTACACCTACGCATTGGTATTTATTTGCCAAAATGTGCTTCCAAATTTTGATATAAACTAAATTTAATTTTATCTAAATTATTTACAAGCTACAATAAGATCTTATTCTAGCATAATTAAAAGTGTTCGTGATAAAATGGCACTGGCTATGAAAAGAATCGATTTAATCAACAAAGATGACATCAGAAATATACAAGATTTCCATGGATCACATTTTGATTTACACATCAGGATGATTCAGCAAGTGTTCATTTCTGGGTATTAGAGTGTCAGGAAACTAGTGAATTCAATATAGTTTTATATGCCCTAAGGTGTAAAAGCACAGGAAAATCCATCATTGCAAGACAAATATTGTTGTTTAATCATCAGGAGTGCTGTACATAAAGAAATGCTTTTAAACTTTGGGTGCCATATAATTGAGTGATTTTGAGCTTAGTACTATTTTCGTAACGGTTTTCCTCTAGCATCTATGTTTTATAACAAGAAATACCCTTTAACTTATGAAATATTTTTAAGACCATTAAGAAACATGTTGGTATAATTAAGCCTAACGTTTTTATGTCAGATATTACCAATACCTTCTACAATGCAGGAAGCCAAACAATTGGAAGGGTTCCAAATCATTTACTATGTTCATGTTAATAGAGGGTGGCAATCAAATCTTTAAAAAAAATTCTATCACTGAGAACAGGGCTTGGACTTATAAAATGTTAAAAGAACTTCAGAATGTGCAAATTTTTTGCAATGCTTTAACAATTTCTGAGAAAGAATGTTTAATGACGATGACACAAAAGTCTTTGAAACTTATTTTTCCTAAAACTATGCTGGACATTTTCAATAATGATTTAAGTAAAAATGGTAAAAGAAAAGTCTTGCTGTGCTATCAAATGTAGTTTTTGTAACATTTGCTTACATTCATTTATCTGTAGTTGTGTTATTTAATGAGGAATATAAGAGCAGAAAAATAATACATTCCACTCAATTCAACATTCCCGTTTTTATTGTTTATCCCGCCATTCCATTTTACACTTTGCCGGTTAACAGGGTCTGGTTCAGAATGTTAATTCTCTCAGAGTCTGAGGTGTAGTATCTGATTTAGGTTTTGCACACTTGCTCTCTGAATTAAGTTCTCACTAACTCTTTACAATGATGGTAGAAGTTAATATCTACGTTATATTCATATTACTATCTGTATCACTTTTAAAGACTACAATATAAATAGCATTTTATAATTGATAGGATAAATTGCGTTATCACTAAAAAGAAATACATATCACCTAACTCCAATAAGACAAATACGCCATGCTTTACTATTACATTTTAAGAAAATATATACAATTCGTTCTAATGATATATAAAAGTATTATCACAATAGAAATTATTATTTGAAATAATATACAGCAACATTGCAATGTATACTATACTATACTATATAGTTTCAGTGGCAACAGGGCATTAGAAGTATGCTTGCGCCTAACTTCACGCCCCCGCATGAAATAGACACTCACGCAAGCGCATAAATAACGGCTCAGTTCGTGTTTGATCCTGTCATTGGTTTTATGCATAGATTAACTAAGTTTTATGCACAAAATATCCCCCCTAGGGGGTATGTTCTGTGGTTTTATGCGGCAACCATTACTGTGTACCATAGAGTAAGTAAAATAATTTTAAATTTTATTTAAATTTTACTTTCTCTATGCTGTGTACCTATTCTTGACGACTAGGGACTAGAACAGCCGAGAGAAGTGGGCGGGGTTTTATGACCGATAAGGCCGAAACGATATTCTTGAAAAAAAATTGAGAGAGGGAGCCCTGTGAGCTCGTCTTTATCTATGCCTGTGAGGGAGCGGGAATGATCGACTGGTACGACGCAGTATAAAGGGCATCTCCCCGGGTTTTCCAACCTCAAATCGTATTTGTTTATGTTTTGGATCTGAGGAACGGGTGTAACGATCATTTCAACGAGTTGTGCTTAATTTAGTTTTAAAATGCAAGTTGAGAAATTCAATAATATTATAATGACATGATAACTGAGGATGTCGATGATGCCATGGAATAATTTGGGGTTCCAAAACATCCCTGGGACAAGATATCCTTTGATCTAACAGACCATAAAGTTGTAAGAAGATTGTTGTTTAGAAGTCCCGAAAATCTTTGTACATTGTTGGTGGAGATGGTGTTTTATTGTTCATTAAATATACATTCGTTAAGGATTCTACACGAGAATAAGCCCTGTCGATAGCAGCCTTGACTTTTCACAATTTGCAATGGCTATTGTGCTATTCCATTTTACCTAAAAGGTACATTTACTTCAGTCTCTTTAAGGAACATAGACTCATTTTACGATTCATTATAAAGTGCTGAAGGAAAGCGGCTACATAAATGAAATTACCCTTTTACTTTCTTCATAAAACTGTATTCATTTTACTAGTACATTACCTTACCT